ACTGTGGAGGTCAATGGCTACCAGCAATTATTTGGTTCTTCAAACTTCAAAAAATATTTACTGTTGTATTCAGCAAAAGAAATAAGTTTTCATTTTTGGGTGAACTATCCCTTTAATGTTGTACATTGGGATGTATTTTTCTGAACTTACGGATTTTTTTATGAGGCAAGTTACATGACAAAATGTAAAAATAAAAGAGATACAAAAAAAGGCATACATTTAAGATTTATGTATTTGAATTACAAATACAATTTCCATCCATCTAAATTGCAAAGTTTTAATTTAAACTAATCAACCTAGTCATACATTAATGAAACGGGTAGATTCTTGTTTGCGTGCGTATGTGTCATTCATGGTGACACACATAATGTGTCTAAATGCTCTTAGGTCTGTATCCATCACAGATGCTGTCTCTGAAAACAGTCACCTGGTGAGTCCTGGTAAATAAAGCAGGCTTATCGGTGACCGTTCCTGATGGCTGTGACATAGAAACCTCCTTCCTCTAATCACTGTCACTCCACACACATCACACAGTCTCAGGAAAAGTGTGAAAAACTGTATTTTTAGGGGTACAAGAGCTTGCCACTAGCTAAGTTTCCATCCAAAGTTGTGAATTAAAGTTGTGCGAAAAATTGGAATATCGGATAAAACAGTTGCGTTTTCCATCCCATTTGGTTCAGAGAACATAGTCTTCAGTTCCTTGGAAACTGGCACAAAGTATCAATGATGAAATATTAAAAAGTTGCAATCAGTAAAGCTTGTGACTCTATTTTTCTACTTAATAAATGACGTTATCATGTTATCTTGCATTTGGGTGCATGATGTTTGGGAGACAGTTCTGGGAGGTGATTATACCAAATAATTTTTGGCTCAGGCATTTCAAAATGACTAAAACAGCGTCTGAGTTGCACATCCTGGAATGTCTTAGGTAAATGTGTTTCCATTCTAGTTTATGCATGCTTTTTTATTGAATAAAAAAATACTGCCTTAAAGGGATAGTTCACCCAAGAATGAAAATGTGATGTTTATCTGCTTACCCCCAGGGCATCCAAGATGTAGGTGACTTTGTTTCTTCAGTCAAGCACACAGCTGTATAACAATAATTGTCAACCGCACATCCAACATTATTTAATATATCAATAACCTTAGTAAAAAGAGAGACGTTGTGAACTAGGCTAATCCTTAATTCCTTTCCATGATCTCTATGGAATTCTGAGGAAAATGCAAGATTGACAGATTAGGAAGCATCTTGATAAGGGTGGAAAATGTTGTATGGAGCCTTAAAGGAAGGGGAAAAACTGACATAGGAACCTTCTTACCCATTAAATATTATTGCGTTCATGAAAAAGTCATGTGGTTTGTGGTGTTTGAGGATATAAACAATGACCTCATGGTCTAGTTGACCTCTGAAGGAAAAATCATAGTTCTGGAAAGGTCTGTCTGGATTCTGCAAACCGATGAATTAAGCTTGCATCTGGGAAACGTATTCCCGACCACAGCAATGCAGTCGTCATAGAGTTTCTCGAGTCGAAGATCAGGGCAAAAGCCACAGTGAGTATGTGAGAGTACGGATGGAAATACAGAGGTCTAAGGCTTTTCCAGTTGTGAATGACTCTTACATGATTTCTGAAAAACTTGTGCAATTTTGTATACATTCACAAGCCTGATATGTGATTTTTCATTAACTGATCAGAAATGTCTGACAGTAAAGCAGATGGGCTTGCACATGCACTTAAAATGCAATAAATCAAAATGTGTGTGTGTTGTAATTGCTGTTAACTTCTATATGCTAAGGTTTTACAAATCGTGAAATTTCAAGACTATATTAAAACTGTAGATTCATGGAGCATATGAGGCGTACATTTGCATTGTATTAGAGGTAAAAAATGATATAAATATTGTTCGATTTCTGGCACAAACCGATCGTTTGGTGTCTTAGGACATCAATGTGTCGTCACGTGCCGCAGGGTTTAATTTGGATTTGTCTGTGCATGTTTTTTTTACTCTCATAGATTTTGTTACCATTGCCATGCATTATACGACTTGATAGAGTGCAACGGTTGGAGTTAAAAATCATCAAATGTGTTCTACTGAAGAAACAAAGTCACCTACATCTTGGATGCCCTGGGGGTAAGCAGATAAACATCACATTTTCATTCTTGGGTGAACTATCCCTTTAATTTAGCGTGTTTTTGTGTGATATCCCAAATTTCAAGTTTTCAGCATGTGGCTAAGTGGTTGCTAGATGACTGCTTACTTACTATATATTACCGATATTTTACCAAAACTTTGTCTGAAGATTTTGTTTTTTTGTTATGTTGGAGGACTCTTGAGATGTTCTATGATTATATTGATAAGTGAAACAAAAACTCGTGTACAACTGTGTCACTTACCCAGTTATTTACCCCTCACGTTCTCAGTGTTTATGTCAAGTGTTTGGGTTTGATGAAATAAGGCACATCCTTCAAACTGCTTTGACTCAAAACTATCCGTGTTGCTAGACATAAAGATTTTGAGGTCATAAGTTCAAGACTGTGTGTACTGTACATAGAACAAGGTAGAATAGCCTGTGTGTCGTGTATATCTTATTTCGGAAACACAAATACATAGATGATATTGTGCACGTGCCATTTTGTCTCTGTGCAAACAAGCACACAGCTGTATAACAATAATTGTCAACCGCACATCCAACATTATTTAATATATCAATAACCTTAGTAAAAAGAGAGACGTTGTGAACTAGGCTAATCCTTAATTCCTTTCCATGATCTCTATGGAATTCTGAGGAAAATGCAAGATTGACAGATTAGGAAGCATCTTGATAAGGGTGGAAAATGTTGTATGGAGCCTTAAAGGAAGGGGAAAAACTGACATAGGAACCTTCTTACCCATTAAATATTATTGCGTTCATGAAAAAGTCATGTGGTTTGTGGTGTTTGAGGATATAAACAATGACCTCATGGTCTAGTTGACCTCTAGTCTGTAAAACCTAAAATGTCGCTACCATATTTTTTACGGTGAAATTCTGGCAACCACAGCTGCTGGTATTTTACCGTAAATGTCACAGATTTTTTTTACAGTGTCGGCCTACAATGAAGTCTACAGCACATGTAATGCAGTCAAATGCCTTAACCTATTTTTTTTTTTTTTTAAGAAGGAGGAAAAATGTATTTGTTTCCGTCACCAGGTGCACGGGATATAATAATTAGTCTGCTCCTTTGATTACAGGGAGTTTTAGGACTGATATATATAGATGTAGTCTCCACTCCTAATTTCCCCACATCTGGCAGGATGACAACAAAGTGTGCAGAACAAAGATAAAAGACGGAAGTGGAAAAGGTGAAATGTGAGGAAACATCCATTCTGGCATCTTCAGCAAGGTCTTGCAGCATGTTGACTGAAAGCTGCTGTCGTCAAAGTGCGGTAACTGGAACCAGATGGCCCAATTACAAGGAAGGAAAAGTTACAAAGGCACAGAAAGGCTCCTCCCCATGACCTCATCCGCATTGGCCCAATTCCTTTTTTTTTTTTTTTTTTTTTAACAAAATATTACTTTTTCAGTTTGCATATCACAACAGATTACACAATGACTAACAATCATGCACAGCAAACATTTTATACCCTATTCTCCCTCCCATATCCAAATGAAAGAAGAAGAAAAAACATTTTAAAGATACATAAATCATCATAGAAGATGATGATGATGCTACACTACTCCCTCAGAGCTTGTTCTTGTAGCAGGCTACCAACATTAACATTGTGCCTTAAGAAGTTTGTAAAAGGTCTCCAGACATCTTCAAAAACATTTTTTCTTTTCAACAATTCAATTCCATTGACACCATTCCTTCAGTCCACATTCCAATTCTTGGCTCAATTATATTTTTCCAGTTAAGGGCTGATAGTATTTATTGCCCAATTCTAATACTCTAATTCTAAAAAATTTTAATGCAAATGTAACTGTAAATATAACTGCTGTTCCTCACTATTTCTTTAGATGTGATATTTATTTTTATACTATAGGATAGTATTATTTATTAACATTTGGAATTAGCTTTTATTTTTTCAGTTTTCATTTAAATGTTAGTATTTTTGTTGTGTGCTTTTTTAATTACTAAAAAAATGATTTCCAATAGTTTTCATTAATAACAACATTTTTCCCATGATATTTTGAGACTTGTGGAAAACCACAAAAGCTTTAAAGTTTTGAACTTTTCTATTATTATTATTTTTTTTTTTCAGGAAGTTTATATAGTTGTCAACATTTGATGTCAAAGTTGTCCTGAAACCTAAAACCAAAATGCGTTCTTGCCTTAGGACAACTTTGATTAACTTTTTTGATCCACTTCAAATGTTGACTACAGTAGATGTTTAGAAAAAAACACGTGATTTCTCTATTTTACAGTTCTGTCACATTGTAATAATACATTTGAACCGCATACAGAATACTTGGGGACTTAAACCTGACTACACACAGACCCATGGGGACTCATGTCACGGTGGGGACCTAAATTGTGGTCCCCACGGGTACAAAAGCTTATAAATCATACAGAATGAAGTTTTTTTGTGTGTGTCTGGGTGTGTGTGCGTGCGTGCGTGCGTGTGTGTGTGTGTGTGTGTGTGTAAATTCAAACTCCTCCACAAATATTTAACTTTCTAATTAGAGATAACAGTTTAGTTGATAGTTTATAGATGTTCAGGAAACCACAAGAAATCAAGAATAGTTCAGCTGTTATATTTTACATGGTTAAGCCCTTTGTTCATTATGGGCTCTGTTTCATTAACAGGTTTTAGCATAATAATTATTATTAATCTTATACCAGTTGAGAATGTAACTTTGGTTCAGTCAGACGCGGGAAATGTGTTCTTTCTTCACTCCTTCAAACGCTCACGCGCGAAGCCGCTAGCAAGAACAAACTGGTTCGCTCGCTCAGAGGAAGCCGGTTTCAGCTGGCGCGTCACCTTGGAAACCACCTCACTATATATAGAGCTGCGATCCCGTGCCGGTTTTTACTCCTCTTGTGCGCCGGTAGATCACCACAGCCGTTCGTGTGCGGGACAACGCCGACGATATTCATTTCCAGCACTCTGGTCTAATGGGAAAACTCTTTGTAAATGCGTTTTAAGGTGAGTTATACGATATTATTCAGCGGCATTAACGTTAAGTGTCTAATATCCGTTATGTTAGGATAAACTTTCAGTTTGGTACAGTCTAATCAAAAATAAAGAAACTAACCGATCAGCCTCTAACGTTAGTTAATTCGCTGAAATGTTTTTCGACGCAGTTTAATATCGACGCGTTTGGCTCGTTTAGTTGTGTCGTATGTTATGACACTATGGCCTCTGAGTCAACGTGGCCGCTGTGTCACACTTTCCTGCGCGTATTTAACTTCGACTTTTATCAAAGGTCTTTTTCGTTGGAGCCAGCTGTGTTGACAAACGTTTAGTTGCTAATATGTTTACTAGATTCTTTGGTTAATGCTAACGGTTATTTTCAAGCTCAAGATCAATGAATGAAGCCTCACGCTGCATAGCCTCGCTAGCCCGAATGAGCGCATTCTATTGGCTGAGCCGAAAGCAGAAGCCGGCTGGATTTGATCAGTGATTGGCTGACAGGAATGCCTGTTATAGTTTGTCCAAACAGGGCTTTTCCTTATTGGGTAACTGATGGAGTCGCGCTCTTCTCAGGGGAGGGACTAATTTCACTGGCTTTGCGAAATTGCTCTGCGTTATAAGTGTCCAAAAATGTGTGTGCGGTTGCCAGCTTCATTGGGAAACAATTTCCTAATTTGACACAAAATGGACTGTTGCGATAAACAACAAATTGTGTGTAATGAGTTTTACACACTATGTGAATTAACGAAAGAACCTAAGGTTAGTTTGGACTGGTTTGTTGCCTGCATTTTATGGTTCGACGTAATGTATGAATCTTTGCAGAATTCTTGCTTGGGAGACGTGCACACTGGCCCTGGCCTTGAGGCTTATCTGAAAGGATTCAACTTCACTGGTGAACCTCCTTGGCTGTCCGACATCTGTTAGTCACATTATAATTCCATCTCTTCCATTCATCTGGTGAGTCATTCTGCCTTTTGAGAGCATCCAATAAAGTGGCATGGAAAACTCAAACCCCTTAAAGATCTGTGTAATTTTGTACCTTTTAAGTTCCAGTTTCACCAGTGAGAGAGGTATAATAATTCTACAGACATTTGTGCAAGTAATGGTACAATCTTGTGTTGTATTGTAGACATTTTGATTTGGAATAATTTTAGTAATGTTTACATCACTCTTTGTCAGTGACAAATAATGTTAAAAATTGGTCTGTTGCTGTGAAACCCTGATGACTGAGTAAAATGAGAGCAGTGGGTGTGATATGAGTGCTTTCCTTAAATTTGTGTCAGTTATTATAGTTAATGAAAACTAAAAACACACAAAAAACACTTTTTACTTGAAATAAAATTAATTTGTTAATAAAAGTTTATCAAATGAATGCTACTTGCCAAGTTAAATGTATCATTTAATTTCACTTATGCTAAAATAATTAAAACCGAAATAAAAAGTACTCCTCTGTAAATATATTTGAAACTAACATAAATTATAAAAAACGCAAAATGATTAACTTAAAACAAACTAAAATTAAAATGACATCAGAAAATATAAGTCAAATGTAATACATTTAATAACTATAATGGTATCTCCATTATAGCTGTCAGTGAGTTGCCTTTGTAGTCTCTAAAGCTGTGAAAACCCAGCTAAAGTCATTTTTTTTGTTATTTACTGTTTTCTACATAAAATCATCCTTCATAAAGATGTAGAACATTCTGTGAAAATATAACCTTTATATCTTTAATATTGCCTGAGTAAGGCCATGTCAAAAATTGAAATCATAGTGAAATTAATGGTTGAAATCAAACTTTGATGCTTGTTATCTCATAATTAGATTTTGGATTTCACAGACAGGGTCACAATAAGCTACTACTTTACGTACACCGACAGACGGCCACTGAGTGGAGTCTGTTGTCTTAGCGGTCACATTTTATAACACCCCTGTCATTTTCTTTAACAGTTTCTTTTGCAATCAAATCTTGAACAAACACCATGACCTCTTTGACTGGATCAGACTTTGACTTCGCCTTCCTGGAGGAGGGATTCTGTGCACGTGATATCGTGGAGCAGAAGATCAACGAGTCATCACTATCAGTAAGTGAACCTGTTGTATTATACCTACATGTCTGCTTAATTGTTGCTTTTTTTTATTCATGTTAACTTTTTAAATGGCTCTGCATATGCCATCCACCATTCTGATCACATCTCTTCTTCTTTTAGGATGACAAAGATGCCTTCTATGTGGCCGACCTGGGTGACGTCCTGAAGAAGCACCTCCGTTGGTTGCGCGTTTTACCCCGTATCACACCGTTCTATGCAGTGAAGTGCAATGACAGCAGGGCTGTCGTCACGACACTGGCGTCTCTGGGAGCCGGATTCGACTGTGCGAGCAAGGTATGTGAAAGATCTTCTAAGTTCCTTAAATCACGAATGTGACTTCTCCATGTGTCTCAATGAGTGCATGACGTCCGCACCAAACGGCAAGAATGTAGCAGCGTTAATCCTGTATTAACCCAACTTCTAATCCTCGTCTCTTCTGCTAGACCGAGATCCAGATCGTGCAGTCTGTGGGTGTGGAGCCGAGCAGGATCATCTACGCCAACCCCTGCAAGCAGGTCTCTCAGATCAAATACGCCTCTGCTCATGGAGTGCAGATGATGACGTTTGACAGTGAAGTGGAGCTCATGAAGGTGGCACGAAGCCATGAGAATGCCAAGTGAGTAACTTTACTAGAAAACGGGTCACATTTCACCACAAAATAATAGTGATCAACCAGTATGGGTTTTTTTTTTTTGTTCGTTTTTTTGATGGTTGATAACTGGGTGGCCGATGACCGATATAAAACGGATTATATTTGATATCAGACCATATAAATTAGCAACAGTGAATAAAACAAGCAGTTATTGCAAATATATATTTGTTTATTTTAACGTATTTAGTCAAATTTATTATTATTTGAAAATTACTTTGTTGAATCTGTGAAATAAACACTTAATTTAGATACACTTTCTGTAAACCTATTGTCAATAAAAATGGCTAATATAAGCTGATTTGGTTTGACCACTTCAAAGTAAAAAAAAAAGTTTTTTTTTTTGTGCATTGTGGCAAGATTTTTGTGACTGTTAAACGTTTTTCTGCTCATGATACTTGCCAAACAGAACAATTTATCGGCTGACAATGATATATTTTGGTGACCACTAAAAATTATAATTAAAAAAATGATTTTGTGCATTGTTACAAGATTTTCCTGACATTTAAACACATTTTCTGTTTCTGCAGACTGGTTCTCCGTATCGCCACCGACGACTCCAAGGCGGTGTGCAGGTTAAGTGTGAAGTTTGGCGCCACGTTAAAGAGCAGTCGGCTGTTGCTGGAGAGGGCGAAGGAGCTCGGGCTGGACGTGATTGGAGTCAGTTTCCATGTGGGCAGCGGTTGCACTGATCCTGAGACATACAGCCAGGCGATCTCAGATGCGCGCTATGTTTTTGACATGGGGGTAAGTGGCCTTATGCTATAAAAATTCAAACTACACTCATTTATGCAATAGAATATATACTTAGTCTGAAAATGATATTGTCCACCAGGCGGAACTGGGGTATGACATGACCCTGCTTGATATTGGAGGAGGCTTTCCAGGCTCCGATGACGCCAAACTGAAATTTGAAGAGGTATATTCTTAATCACCATCTTAACTTCAAGTGACCAAATATGTTTAGGTTATACCAAACTTAACTTGTGGGGTTTTTTTTGGTTGGCAGATCGCTGCTGTGATTAACCCTGCACTGGATAAATATTTCCCTGTTGACTGTGGTGTGAGGATCATTGCGGAACCTGGCCGCTATTATGTAGCGTCTGCTTACACACTGGCTGTCAACATCATTGCCAAAAAGGTCATCATGAAGGAGCAATCAGCCTCAGACGGTAAAAGCAAACATTCAAAACCATGTTTGTTTCTAATGTGCTCTTAAAATTATTATTCTCAGACTTTAAATGAAAGAACTATATTCAGTAACTACACACTAATATTCAGTAATATTATCAATTTCACTGCAATGAATAATCCTGTAAATGTCCCGTTTATAACTGAGGTGCTGCTTTGAAGCAATCTGTAGCGTGTAAAGCATTACATTAAAAAAATGATTTGATTTAACTGAATTTCTTGTTAATTTTTTCAGAAGAAGAGGATGGGGCCAATGACAGAACCCTGATGTACTACGTGAACGATGGTGTTTATGGTTCCTTCAACTGCATTCTGTATGACCATGCGCATGTCTTGCCAACTCTGCACAAGGTACGGAAATGAGTCCATCAGATTCCTGTTTGTTAGATGGAGTTTCTTCCCTGAGACTAAAATGTAACCAACAATCTCTTACAGAAACCCAAGCCTGATGAGCGCATGTACCCATGCAGCATTTGGGGCCCGACCTGTGATGGGCTGGACCGCATTGTGGAGCAGTGCAGCTTGCCTGACATGCAGATGGGCGACTGGCTGCTGTTTGAGAACATGGGTGCCTACACTGTAGCCGCATCTTCCACCTTCAATGGCTTCCAGAAACCCGATATTCATTACATCATGTCCCGCACAGCCTGGTAAGTAGGATGTGGGAACCCATTTTCATTACTTTCAGCATCGTTAACAGTTCTTTTTAATGTTTGAGTTATTGTCAAAGTAGAACGAACACCATACTAAAATAAGCCAAAGGCTTACTGATGTCAAACGCCGAAGGAACTGGATTGACACCCTTAATTCAGTATAACTTTTTAATTGATTCAGAGTTTTTATAGTTAACTAAAATCAGAAAAAATGGAGTGTATCTTGATGTATTAAAACTGAAATAAAATTAAGCTATAATAAACACAGCTAAACAGGCAGGATCAACAAAACTAATAAAAATGACAAACACAACTATATTACTAATAAACTGCTGATAGATTAAAAATTAAAGACCGAAAATGCAAAAAAAATTTTAAAAAAAAATCTAAATATAAACTAACACTGAATTTGTCGATGTATAACTTCAGCAAATGATGCTTTTTCTTAATATTATATTACATTTAAAAATGTTAAGAAATAATATTTTATTTAGAAATAACACCATCCAATGACAGAACCCACACAGCTAAACAGGCAGGATCAACAAAACTAATAAAAATGACAAACACAACTATATTACTAATAAACTGCTGATAGATTAAAAATTAAAGACCGAAAATGCAAAAAAAAATTTAAAAAAAAATCTAAATATAAACACACTGAATTTGTCGATGTATAACTTCAGCAAATGATGCTTTTTCTTAATATTATATTACATTTAAAAATGTTAAGAAATAATATTTTATTTAGAAATAACACCATCCAATGACAGAACCCTGATGTACTACGCAAACGATGGTGTTTACAAGATACAAATCTTGTACTGAAAGAATGACTAATGGAAAAAGGTTTTGACTGACTGAATTCGACACTTTCATTGCAGGCAACGTATGCAGCAGATCCATGCTCAGGGGATTCCGCTTGCTGCTGAGGAGCAGTGCGCTGGAAGCGTGCCATCCCACTGCGGACGCGAGAGCACATTGGATGTGCCAGCCAAGCCGTGCCCTACTCAAGTGCTGTGATGCTCTTCAATGCAGACTACCAGAGCGAGAGCCAGTTCTCATTCAGACAGCGGTTTATCATAGTTCTCCAGTGATTTACACCTGAACCCTGTCTTGAGGTCCACCATTTCCAAATATGTGCTGTTGAATAACAATAGCTAAATTTCTATTCTAAATGCAGCTGTTTTTCACTTTGTATGCATGTTGCAAATGCTCAAGCCTGAAAGACGCACAGAAAGGCTTCTTTCTTTTAAGTAATTTTTTTTTATATATACGTATGTACATGTAAATCATGAGGCCAGATACTTGACTGGAGGATATGAGGGAGGTTTAATCGTATGTGTAGTTTTCTGTGTGTTGGAGGAAAGTTTATTCCTGAACAGACTCCCCCTTTTATAGATTAAAATGGAAGCTCATGCTACTTTCTTTTGAGGAGTGTTAAGGGATTGAAAAGTAGCCATTTCATGAAATGTTCTCCCAACAGTCTTTGAAAAAGAGATCTTCCTCCTCACACAGACTCGTACAGATTTCTTCCTCCATGACCATTTCCATTTTATACTTGATTAGTAAGTTAATTTTAATATTATTTTTGACCTGAAATCTGTATTATTGACCTGAAATGTATGCCACTGATGCATTTGAAATGGATATGAAAGAGATGGGATTGCTTCTGAATTGCTTTCCTATGGAAACTTTTTTTTTTTTTTTTTAAGTTTTGTATTTTTATATAAATAAATGTAGCTGTAAAAATGTTTTGATTTCCATTCCAATAGCACCATTTTACAACTTGTGAACGTACTAAACTGTGCACAAAGATTTGCGCAAATCAAGAATTTATAGACCACAAGGTAAAACAACTTTACACTAAACATGAATGTAGCACCATCTAGTGGTGATGCGTGATTCTTTTTACCAAATCTGTTCTTTTGGATGCATTTCAATTAAACCCTCCAAAAATCTATGACAGTTTATTTAAATTATTTAGACGTTACATATTATGCTTGTGCTGTTCAGAATGAGAAACTAGCCTAATACTACCATGACCATAAAAATATTATTTGATACACCACACAATGCAACAAGTGTCCAGTTATCTCTGAAAAATAACTGGTAGTTTTGCATTTCACAAACATGCTTTGCGCTGTGGGATGTAGAACTTGGAATGCCTGTTAATGTGCCTCAAATTGACAGTATAATGATCTCATCTGTTTGAGGAAAACACTTAGTTTCAACATTGATTTCAGGTCCATACTTAAAGAAATACCCCATTATAGCCTTGAATGCATGTACACGATCTAATAAAAACTATTCATAACAATTAGTTTGAATACTTCTGGAGTAATACATTGAGGCTACTGGCATGTAATACAACTACAGTCAACAGGGTATATGGGTCTAATATTAAAACAAAACGCAGCCACCCTTCAAATTAGATATATTGTTTTATCTGTAGTAGTGTTGCAAATCATAGGATAAAATACTAAATAATGGATTACATCATCATTGATTAAATATTGATCAATAGCATTTAATGTTTTGACTTTGATCATGATTTGTGTTTTCTGCAAAATCAGAACTCGTGCTTTGGCACATGTTTCAAAGCAACTTCACAGAATTTTAGATTTAGGAAATTTGAGAATTTTCTGAAATGTGGCTGATTTGACATTAAAACACACACACACACACGTTGGGTTTCCATGTTTTATGGGGACATTCCATCAGCGTAATGGTTTTTATACTGTACAAACTATTTTCTATCGCCCTAAACCTAAACCTGCCCCTCACGGGAAACTTTCTGCATTTTAAGTTTTTCAAAAAAAATTTTATTTTGTATGATTTATAATCTTATTTCCTCATGGGGACCAAAAAATGTCTTCACAAGAACAAGGATTTTGAGATATTCGTATCATTGCTTAGTGACAGCAGTAAGCAGCTTCCCGTAGCATTCTTGTTGAAGTATTTCGCAAACTCGGGAACACCCAGAGAACAGCGAGTTGTTCCAGCACCTGAGGTCAAGTATGTGGAGAAAACTGCTGATCTGTGACTCAAGCAGATTCATGTTTGAATTATTCTGGGAAGAACTTGAGAATGTGTGCTCATTCTACTTTTAAAAAAATAATAAAAATAAATAAAAAGCTAAGACAAGCATTTAATTATGTCATACTGCCATATGAACCATAAGTGCAATAAAGCGCTATAATACCACCCAGTCATGTGTCCAAATGAATAGCATAACCACTGCACTATAACACACACACACGAGTTTGTGTGGATTTAGCCCTTTGTCAATTTACATGTAAAGGACTAGCCCAGGTTTACATTTTATTGCTGCATATTTTATCATGCTGCTCTTTGTATCACATTAATGATCAATTAATGTTAAAGCAATAGTTCACCCAAAGAATGAGTTATTCAGTTACTCCTAACAGTACATTGACTGAACTGCTAAAAGAGAACCGATGATGGGATGTGCACGAGCAGAGCAGCTGGACTGAGTCTCTTCCTGCCGGGAGACGGCATCTCAGTATGGTAGGGGCGTAACATTTCCGTCACACGCTTGAGGTATTCAGCCAATCACAACGCACTGGATAGCTGGCCAATTAGAGCACACCTCGCTTTTTCAGACCGATGAGCTTTGTAAAAATCGACGCATTTCAAAAAGGCGGGGCATAGAGGAGAAACAATAAATGTACATTATATGGAAAATAATGTGTTTTTTTAACCTTAAACCGCATAAACACATTGCATTATACCAAATACACAAAATAATGTTCTTTTTAGCAACGTCATATGACCCCTTTAAAAAGGTACACATAGGCCTATTAGTATTGCCTCGAGTTTAATTAGTTTGCAAAGAAGTCTGTCATCTTTAACATACATATAGATCATTAAATAGTACACTTATATATTCTAATGAATGATACTGAATTGACTGATTGATCAGACATGACTGAATCCAATTAAAACGAGGAGACAATACAACATATTGTATAATATGTCTTTAAAGAGACACATTATATTTGAAGACATACATGGCATTATACTTTCTAACTGGTTTATGACATCATAAAGCAGGGGCCGCATTAGATCCATTTTTGAGAGGAGTATTAAATAAAATCTCCTTTCATTTGTTGCAGTTTATATTTACATGATGTATTTGTTTTTGTACGTGTGTGATTCCAGAGATCATTATCGATTATCATTATGCAACAATTAAGGCAAGAGATTGTTAACAGCCAGGGAAACTGAAGCTCTGGTGCCTACAGTTTGGACTTCTCCCCCGCACAATGTGGCCACTCACAGTGTATGAAGTCCCATTAACAACTGTGGAGAAGATAGTGCAGACCATCACTTTGTGGCTCTGTGTTTAAATCGATGTTTAAGTAACATCAGCCTCTACGGCAAAGGGGTCCTGGAACTACTTCTCACTAGTCTAACCGAGGAATACAAGTGTTCTCAAGTAAGACTACAGATGACACTGAAGGATTCCAGAGACAAGACCATCAGTACTGCTGCACCTCCCCTGGCAACTGGGCAGAAGTGGACACCATCCGATGCAGTGCAGCGAGCTATATCAGCCTTGAAGCACAAAGACATTGTGGGGCAGGTCCAGCAGGGAAGAGGAGGTTTTGGCTTGAAAGCAAATGAACAAACCTGCCAAAAGGCTACAACATCAGACTGGAGAACACTGGTGGTCAAGGAGGTGCGTTGACAGGAGGAGGCTGTGAGAAGAGCAAAAGCCTTCTCTCTTGTTAAGCAGGGACAATGGATGAGGTGGGAAGGTGTGGAGAGGAGAAAGATCAGCTGGAAGGAGCTATGGGAAATGAAGGCAAACAAGATCAGCTTTATCATCAGAGCAACGTACGACGTGCTTCCATCACCAATGAATCGCCAACAGTGGTACGGCGAGGATCCAACCTGTGCCTTCTGCCCAACTCTAGCTACTCTCAAACACATCATGACAGGCTCACGCAAGGGAGATACACCTGGAGACACAATCAGGTTCTGGCATCAGCTTTGGAGAGCAAGCGGAGCGCGACCAACTCCCAACCACATAGAGCAGGCAATCTCGCGAAGGAAACAATGTTTGACAGAGAATGGCAGGTAACACCCAAAAATCCTTTCACCAAGTCAAAATCAGGACAACTACTGTATGCCTAGCCCACGACTGGAAAATGTTGGCAGACATCGGACAAAAGCTAATCTTTTAGCTTGAGATCGCCCTCACCAACCTAAGGCCAGACTTGCAACTCTGGCCCCCCTCACTTAAAGTGGTATATACAGTTGAGGTCAAAAGTTTACATACACATTGCAGAATCTGCAAAATGTTAATTATTTTACCAAAATGAGGGATCATACAAAATGCATGTTATTTTTTATTTAGTACTGACCTGAATAAGATATTTCACATAAAAGACGGTTACATATAGTCCACAAGAGAACATAGTTGAATTTATAAAAAATGACCCCGTTCAAAAGTTTACATACACTTGATTCTTAATACTGTGTTGTTACCTGAATGATCCACAGCTGTTTTTTTTTGTGGTAGTTGTTCATGAGTCCCTGGTTTGTCATGGGTTGCATTTCCCAGAAGCATCGTAAGCCTAAGCACATCGTAGACCCATTGCCTCCAGTGGAGCTACGATCAACTTAGGCTTACAATGCTTTTGGGAAACGCAGCCCTGAACAGTTAAACTGCCCAGTGCCCACTGTTCTTCAGAAAAATCCTTCAGGTCCCACAAATTATTTGGTTTTACAACATTTGTGTATTTGAACCATTTCCAACAATGACTTTATGATTTTGAGATCCATCTTTGCACACTGAGGACAAACTGAGGGACTAATATGCTACTATTACAGAAGGTTCAAACACTCACTGATGCTCCAGAAGGAAAAAAACGATGCATTAAGAGCCGAGGGGGAGGGGGAGGGGGATTGGGGTGAAAACTGTTGAAGATGTGTACATTTTTCTTATTTTGCCTAAATATCTTTTTTTTTTTAAATTTAGTCCTGCCCTTCAAAAGCTATAGAAGATAAAATAAGTTACATTTACCCTGATCTTCAAATTCAAAAAGTTTTCACCCCCGGCTCTTAATGCATCGTGTTTCCTTCTGGAGCATCAGTGAGCTCTTCCACCAGTTTCTCTGCTGTGGTGGCCACACTCTGGTTGGGTATCGTGTATGCCTCCGGCCACTTAATGAAGTAGTCCATGGCAATTAGGATGTAACCGTTCCCAGCCTCTGAGACTGGGAAGGGGCCCAGGATGCCGACCCCCACACTCTCCATTGAAGCCCCAACCAGGTACTGTTGCAGCGGGGCATGGGGGCCGCGTGGGTCCCTTCTTGGCTGTGCATGCGTCACAGCAGTGGACATAGAGCTCAACGTCCAGCCGGCATCCTGCCCAATAGAACCAACTTCTCAATCTCCAGTCTTTGCCATTCCAAAATGGCCGGTCCCCACTGAACCGTGCACTAGCCGCAAGACTTGATGCCATAAAGAGCGGGGCACTAGCAGATGCAGTAAGGTGGCCTCACCGTCAGGTGTCTGCCATTGACGGTAAAGCAGACCGTCTTGGAGAGCAAGGGTGGTCCACTGGGAGTAATAGGCTTTCACTTCCAGTCCAAGCGCCATTATCTTCTGCCGCTCTGGCCTCCGAACTGCTACTAGCCACTCGCATAGTCTCTTTAGGGCAGGATCTGCTTCCTGCTGCCACCGCAACTCATGAGGTTCCAGGGGGTCACAGGCCCCATCCCCTCCATCCACCTGCCACACCCTCACTTTGTCTGCAGCCTTTTCCCGTTCTTCCTGCTTTCAACAATTGTGGCAGTCGATCACCTCACAGGGGCGACGGGACAGGAAGTATGCAATGATGTGCTCTCCATTGTCACCATCCTGGGACAACACTGTGCCAATACCAACATTGCTGGCATCGGTGTCGATGATGAACGTCCGGCCTGCA